TATTAGATTTTTTTTTTATAAAACCAATTACTGACCTTTTTTAGAGTATTCTTTTTATTCAGATTTCTAGAAAGCTTTTCCATGTTTATGATGTCAGATATAGGTGCATCCACCCTGTTTCACTCTTTTATAACTATAACTTTATGAGGAAAAAATTCATTCTTTTAAGTACTTAAAAAGCTGAGGAATAAATCAGGTTCCTCAAATAATTGTCTTTTCCCTCAGGTGTTGATTAAAAATAACACTGTCTAATGTATAGATTATCCTAATTATAATAGAAATAAGTGAGCAATTTTATATATCATTTGATTTTGTCATGATATTCAACAAAGTAAAATTTTATATTAAACTCACATGAAACTGCTAATGAGTACATCATCTTTTATAAATACATATATATTCAGAGAAGAGTAGACTAGAAAAGCCTATATCCCCCCTCACCCCCCAAAACACGCATATGCGTGCAGGCATGTACCACATGTACATTTTTGGAAGGGGGGAGAGGGAATAAAGTCACCCAAAATGTCCCAACTTTATTATTTGGTAGCAATTATTACCTTTCCTTTTTGAAAGTAATAATTTGTGCCTAATGGTTGTGACTTTTTTTTATGAAAATTTTTAAAAAAGATTTTATTTACTTTTTTGACAGAGATAGAGAGATCACAAGTAGGCAGAGAGGCAGGCACAGAGAGAGGGGGAAGCAGGCTTCCCACAGAGCAGAGAGCCCTATGCAGCGCTCAATCCCAGAACCCCAAGACCATGACCTGAGCTAAAGGCAGAGGCTCAACCCACTGAGCCATCCAGGTGCCCCTTTATTAAGATTTTTAAGTAATCTCTACACTCAGTGTGGGGTGGAATTTACAAGCCCAAGATCAAGAGTCCTGATGCTCTAGCAACTGAGCCAGTGGGGTGCCTCCCCATCCCCCCCCCCCCACCCTCTCCCATTGGTTGTGGCTTTGAATGAAGTTCTCTCCTGTCAGTTCAGGGCAGATTGCAGATTTCATCACACTTTTTTTTTTTTTTCCTCTTGAGAGGCAACATAGTATTTTGAAGAGATGAAGTTCTTAAGTCAAAGAGATACAGATTTTCCACTCACTTCATGTATAGTATTGGTCAAATGTTTAATTTTTAGAGATTCCGTATTTTTTTTAACTACAGAGACAGTGATTTCATTCAGTTTTCTGATGAATAAGTGTCCAAGATAGCCATCATATACGGAGACCTGTTGTGAGCTAGGCACATTATATGCCCCTTCATTATCATCAATCCCTATGACAGCACTGAGGGGTAAGAGTTATTCTAGCTCCCATTTAATGTAACGGTGCATCAATAAAATGTCTGTTACACTGTCCAGCTCAGCAAATTGTAATGGTAGTGATGGTAGTCATAGTACTAGTCATGGTAGTTGCTGTTTTGACTATAGTCATCTTACAGCCCCATGTTCCCAGTTTAACTAGAGAAATGTAAGGATGGAAAGAGGCAGCCAGTTTAGGGGACACAGGATTCAAAGACAGTCTGTTTCAGCATGATCTGTGCAGTTAAATATTACACCATATTGTCATGATATTCTGGGATTTTAGATATTCTAAATGCTTGGCACCATGCATAGAGACATTTCATTCTTTTTTTTTTTTTTTTAAGATTTTATTTATTATTTGACAGACAGAGATCACAAGTAGCCAGAGAGGCAGGCAGAGAAAGAGGAAGGGAAGCAGGCTCGCTGCTTCACAGAGAGCCCAATGCGGGGCTCTATCCCGGGACCCTGGGATCATGACCTGAGCCGAAGGCAGAGGCTTTAACCCACTGAGCCACCCAGGCGCCCCGAGGCATTTCATTCTCAACGGGACACTATTCTAAACTATATTTAAAAACAGTTTGGTGTTTATTTTCTTCTGAAATCATGCTGATGTGTTACCTAAAAGGCATACTTTACCCTTAGTATATGGATTTTTATATACTTCCATCAGGGAATTTTTTCAATGGCTTAGTGCTTTGACTACCTGGCTAATTCTTCAACTTAGTTTAGGTATTTCTAGTTGCCTAGTTCTATGCATTGGGTTTGGCATATTTCTCAAGTGTAGTAATGGTATGGGTTATTTCTGTGCCTCTTCTAAATTGCTCTTATTATTGCTATGAAGATAATCTTAACATTTTAGCTAATGATTCATACAGTTCTACATCTAAAATTTAATCTGGTCTTATTTTCATAAATTAAATTATAGAAATAGAATATTACTATATAATTTATAATCACGTTACGTGCCAATAGGTGTAATTATTTAGCAATATAAATTCATCAGGATCTGTTACTTCATATTTATTTTTAGCCCAAGATATGAATTCATTTCTAATTAATAAAAGGTTATGTTTCTACCTCAGGGAGATTTAAACTATAAAAGACAAGTTGTGGGGAGGACACTGACATGTGATCCATTTTTCTCACTACTGTATACACCTGAAGGTATTAATATTCTCAGACTACTACTTACAAATATATTATGTATTGAGACACACTGGTTATTTACTAGTTTTACTTTATGTTTATTGAATAAGCAGTTGAGTATTGAGATTCCCTAGGCAGCATAGCTGGGTACTGAGAATGGTGCAAGCCCTTGGGGATGCTGAGATGTTACAGACTTCTAAGAAGTAACTAGCAGTTTGTGTTTGCTCAGAATTCAGCAAGTACATTTAAAAGTCTGATTCATTTGAAATGCTCTAAATTAAATTAGAAAGTAACCTTTAGCAAAATATATGTCATCCACTTTGCAGACTTCTGTATAAAAGTTTTACATATATAAGAACCACTTTACATGATGGTATTTTTTTTCTCCTTGTATTTCCCTTACAACTGTGAATACCCATGAAAATGAGCAACAGCATTAGTATATGAGCTAGCCTTTAGAGTAGTCACCGAGTGCCAGCATGAGGTTTACACTGCCGTGAAAACCATGGCAATTTTACAGTTTATGAAGCACTTCCTCAGACACTCTTCATCTTCGCAATAACCCAACAAAGAGGCCAAGTGTCGTAGGCATTGGTCATTTCTGCTGGCCCAGCACCCCAGGACCCTTCCCTCCTGGGTAGAGCCCTGCCTCCCTCTCCTGAAATCAAAGGAGGGCAGCCAGCCACTCTCCTGCCCTAATTTGGCCACTCACAGGCTCTTCCTTGACTGAGGCTCAGCCAATGAGACAACGCTGCCTGAGAGTTTTCCTGGAAATGAGCACATCAGAGCTCCTGAGGAGAGACGGGGGCTCATTCCAGGCAAAGGAGTGGCAGAGAGGGGTTGTGTCCAGAGCCGTGGAATTGCCTGGACTCTCAGCGTCTGGGACCCAAGTGACAACTTGCATGTTTTGACCAGACTCCTTTGTTTCTGCCTATTTTCCCCCAAATTTTTCAGCTTCTACCCTCAACTGACCATCTCATTTCTTCTCAGCACATGCTTATCATGTTTAACATGGCTACAGTAGGTTTTGGTTATTGGCAACCTATAGGTATAACAAGAATTGCTATTCCCGATATACAGATAAAGAAATTGAGACTCAGTGAAGTTAAGGAACTTCCTTGAATTGTAGTCATATAGAAAAGCCAAGTCTAGAGCCCAGGACTTCCAGCTCAGGGTTGTTTCTTGCACAGCACACTGTTTTCCCTATTGCCTTCAGTGGCCTCTGCAGATAGTGAGACGTGCTTTCTCCTCTGTGCCTCTTTGATAGCAGTACTTAGTCCCATTTATGGTTATAATCTTATCTGCTTGATGTCAGGTGCACCTGTCTTCTACCCTGTTGAACATCTGGAAGACAAGGATTGTTTTACAGTCATCATTTTTTCCTCAAACTTATTGGAGTGCCTGGGTGCAGACCCAGTACTAAATAAAGATTGTAATGAATGAGTAGCAAATGAGTGCATAAATTATTCAATTAAATGAAAACACCAATGTGGGCTTGAAGTTGGTGCTAAAAGTGTAACACTGGTTTTAGAAAGTACCACTATGTTCTTTACCAATCAAAATGTTAAACTATAAACAATTCACCTTAAATATATCAAGATGCTCACTTAGTAAGTGTCGATTCCATGTCTGCTGTATGTTAGGTGGTTATTACAGGGAGAAATAAGAATCTGTCTCCTTCTTTAAGAAGTCTAACCGACTGGTGGTAGAATTAAATATTCCATAGCTGTGAGGAAAAGAGCGGTGATAGTCTGAAGAATGATCAGGGCAGCAGGCCCACTGTCAGCAGCCACAGGAACCACTATACTGGCCTGGCAATACCTCTCTGGGCACGATGCTGTGACCATGAAGGAAGACAGCCAGAGCCCTTTGAAAGCTGGAGAAAAGCACAATATGCTTTGCCCTTCCAGAATGTTGTGTGATATGCTTTTTTTTTTTTTTTTTTTTAATGAAAAAAGACTACATGGGGTGCCTGGGTAGCTCAGTCAGTTAGGCATCTGACTCGTGGTTTCCATTCAGGTCATGATCCTGGGTTCCTGAGTTTGAGCCTTGCCTATCCAGCTCCACACTCAGTGGGGCATCTCTTCCTCTCCCTCTCCTTCTTTCCCTCCCCCGTGCTCACACAGTCTCAATTTATCTCTCTCTCTCAAATAAATAAATCTTAGAAAAAAAAAAAAAAGAGAGGGTTACCTGCACCCTCATTCGGACAGAATTATTTTTAAAAAGGCTGTAATCAAAGCTTATCAAATTTTTAAACTAATTTTGAAGTTCCTTTGTACCATATGAGACTAATACATAAGACTATATTTTGGTTTGGCAAAAGGTGAGAATGAAGAGGAAATTTTTATCTTTATATAAGCATTAAAGCCCAATATAATAAAAGCAACAAATAAAGATATATATAAATATGTGAAAGGATATAAAGCCATATGTATGTATGTGTGTAAAATATATGTAAGAAACAGGATACACATTTGTCAATATAATTTCCATTCTTTACAGATTACACACACAGTAAGAGAAATATTTAATTCCATAATGTTTTGGTCATTTGCAGACAATTACTACGGCACGCCAAAGCCTCCAGCAGAACCAGCACCCTTATTATTAAATGTGACAGACCAGATTCTTCCAGGAGCCACTCCAAGTGCTGAAGGAAAACGGAAGAGGAATAAATCAGTGAGCAACATGGAGAAAGCAAGTATAGAGCCTCCTGAGGAAGAAGAGGAAGAGAGACCTGTGGTCAATGGAAATGGAGTAGTAGTAACACCAGGTTAGTCACTTAAACACACGTGTGTGAGTGTGTGTGTGTGTGTGTGTGTGTGTGTGTGTGTATGATTACAGTCACTTTCAGAGAGAGAAGATCATGATATCAAAAGGAAAGGTGCAATTCTTGTATCCTTTTGTTCTAATTTTGACACATCATGCAACTAATTCAAGTTCCTCACTTTTTGGTTTCACTTGCACAGTATTGATGGCCATATAATGAATGGTTACTACATCGTAGAAAATGTTACAAGTCATGAATATGATTGTGTAAAGTTCTGGGGTCTTTGCTAATGAATATTAGGGAAATCTGTCTTCAGAAACCGTACTGTACTCACGGTTCTGTAAAAAGAGGCTGTCATGTAATTTAGTTAACAACTTCAGTGAACACTGTCCTCAGAATGACCAGAGTTACACCACGTCTGTATATTTTTCTCTCCACCCTTACCATCGGAGAAAGCATCTTTATACATTGACTTGATGAAGGCATCTACTCACCTACTCTGAAAACAAGAAGACATTTTATCTCTTTGATTTATGATCTATCATATCATGTATATAAAGAATATCAGGCAGATAAAGAGTGGGTTTGCTGTTTTCTTGTGCTTATTACTAACAGAGTGCCAAATGTTTTATTATGAGATATTTATCATTATATTATTCATAATTAAATGTTGAAGCAAATATACGGCGTTCTTGTAGCCTCTAAGCTTAAAGTAAGTTTCCATAGTTTTTAGTTATTTATTTTTTAATAACAGCATATCAGTAAGCATTGAAAATCTAAGAACCATGTTAAAGCTCTTAAAAATGTAAACCTGTGCACTTTGCATACATATTATTCAAATATATTTCCTATAATGGCTCTGATATCTATGTTTTTAATTATCACTGTACTGTTTCTATAGTGATATAATTGAATTTTCATGCTCAATTATTTTTATCAAAGTTTTGTGAGCTTGTTTTTTATCTTCCTTTTTCATAGTACCTGTAAAAATTGCCTTCCTTGAACATAAGGAGACCAGAATCTAATCTGTGCCAATCAAGGTGTAAAACCCTAAAAAGGGGTTTCATCTTGATTACTCAGAGGAGGACAACCTCCTTCATTAATGTAATGGTGAAAAACATGCTCTGATCCTACCAATCACTGGTACAAATGATTTCTGGATACAAATGCTAAAAATTACTATTGGTACATAATGTAACTTGTTTACTACAACCCTGTGCTGGAAAAAAATGTGATGAGGTTCAGAAGGTGAAGAGCTAAGTAAATGTATATGAGAGGAAAATAATTTACAGGTTTACAGCTAATTTTCAAGCAATTAGATACATTTTCTTTTTTGATTCTGAAATACCTTTGTCAAAATATTTACTTTTCGTTATGGAATAGATATAAATTAAGTTGACAGTAGTACATAGTTTTCTTAGTTATCTTTGATGTGAGAAGCCAAATGATTCAGCCAGGTAGAAGCAATAAGCATAAAAGAAGCAGAAGTTGGGGATCAAAGAGCAGTTACAGAGTTTCTTACTGGTTAATCCCTTATAGATAAAAATATAAAATATGTGTCCTTTGTTGGGCCTGAATCATTGGTTTCTATTTCATTTCTACTCTGTATGGGGCAAATCAAATGAAGCATTCTTGACCCACAGATTTATAAACTAGAAAATTACTTAATTGGGGATCATAATGAATCACCATTCCTTTCAATTCATACATATTAGTTATATAAGGAAGTGTGTGTGTGGGGGGGGGCGGCTAGGAAGTCTTAAGGGCCCCCAAGGAAAATGGATCAGTTTGCACTCTTCTTAACCAGCCCTAACGATATCTCTGTTTCTGGACCTCTCAGCCTGAGGATGGTAGAGAACAACTACCCAGGTCAAATCTGGGATGTCTGGATACTTAATAGATGCCACAAATGCTTGCAGATGCTTACAGTGGCTCTGTAAGCCTGGCTGGACAAATGGCCCTTATACAGTCTTGTTCTTGCCCTTGTGGCGGATGAGAGAGAGGTAAATTAGGCAGATCTTCACCCAATGTTGGAAGATGGAGCAAACAGCCCCAAGCCAGAAATGGGTCTGTCGTTCCTTATTAGAAATCTTTGTTTTTCTTTATGTTTATACAACAGAAACTTGAGGATTCACTTTGCCTTCCTCCTATACATTCCCTCAGCTCTTCACATTCTAAAACCTTGTCACAATTTACCCCCCTAGCAGAGGGTCTTTATCCTGCCTTTGTTTTTTTTTCCCATACACAGTCGCCAGATATAAGACGCTTCCAACAATATTGAGAAAATTGTTGCTTAAATTTTAGTTACTGCCTCATACCAACCAGGAGCCTATAATACCAATTAATATCAGACGTCAGTTCAGAGCATACATAGTACAATCGATGAGGTGCTTTCAGAGAGTGAAAAAAGCTTACTGAGGTGATTTTATTCCATTACATAAAAATACTGATAATAATGATAATAAATACTGTAAAAATTAACTTCCTGTAGATGTTTACCATGTGCTAGGAACTCCCTAATTTCATTATATGTACTAGTTCATTTAATTGTCTTATCAGATTGTATAGGTTAGGTACTATTTCATAGATCAAGACACTGAGGTGCACTACAGGTCAGTAATTTGCCGAGTTACAGGCCTTTATATATAGGAACTATCGATCCAGAAACCATGTTCTTAGCTGCTTTGCTATCCTGTGTCTTACAGCACCAAACAGAAGCATGAGTACGTTTCTCAGCAACGTGTATATGACACGACCACTATTTCACTTGTACCTCTTTAAAAGTGGCATTATAAGTTTCTACCTACCAAAAGTTTATTAATTCTTTCATTTCTGGAAATCATATACAATTCAACTTATGTGGCTCTGTAGATATAAAAAAAATCCCATTTTTTAAAATAATATTCTGCAAGTATTTAAGGAACAAACCTACCAATCTCTAACTCCTTATACTTTACCAAAATGAATTATTTTCTCTATGTAAGTAGATTTTAGAGGAGTCCTCGATTTACTTCTATTACTCATTTTCTTCATCTTTTCTCCTTTGAACTTATACTTAGAACTGTGTATTCCTTTTACTTTCAGGCCATATTTATATAAAGTTGGTGACCACCTTTAAATATATAATTTCTACATGAAGTTCTACTAACATTGTCCATGAATATTCATGTGAGCTCTTAATGCTAGATTCCCTTTTTTGCTCAAAATTACATCAGACAGATGGAGTTAGCCCATATCACTGAGAAAAGCCATAGAATGATCTTTCAGTGTCGCAGATCAGAAATGTTTCTCTCTCTGACATGTGCCACTTTGGCGATAAAAATCAATATAGTTCTATCCTTAGAACTGTAGTGCAATTCTTGTTGATACTGAAAGTTACCATTATTTTTTTTATTTTTATTTTTATAACTCTCTGTTAATGAATACATAAGATGGGCTAGACATAAAGTATATATATTGTCTCTTTTCCCATAATCATAGTATGCTTACTTAACAAAGAATATGCTGAAATTTAGCTTAAGGTACTCAACTAAGGTAATAGTTAATTTAGTGATAGAGTCAAAATCTGGACCCAGGAGTACCTGAACTCATTCCCTTTCCACCACATTTCTCTGGGCTATGAACCACGCTGAGGACAAAGGACTCCTGACCTCCATAAGGTAAAATCACAACCTTTCAGCTCAATGGATTTCATTACACTGCATTTTGTTATATTTGTCCTTCTCTGAATTTGTGGCTGCAGTGTTAGATGAAACAGCTTTACATCATCTGAGAGAACCTGCCTTTAAACTGATATTTAAAATTCATATCCCCAGGAAACCTCTCCTTGACATTAACCTCACCTATATTTAGACACCTTTATCTTGTTAGAGTTGACATCCGGCCCCATAGCTTCAAATACCGTAGATTTACCTGCAGCCTTCACTTTTCTCTTGTGTTCCAGGGCCATATTTCTGACTACTGCCCACTGGACTGCCCCTCCGTGCATTTCCATAGCAACTTAACTGCAACATTCCTCTTAAATTCTTCTCGCATAAAACAAGCAAATTAGTTCATAAAGGCCTTTACTTGATTTTTCAAATTCTTCTTTTCACCCACATAGCTCAGACTTCTTTGATACTTCTTTCCCCCTAGCCTTGCTATATATTATTGGCTATAAAAATCCCTGGGCCTGTAGTTTTTATCTCTTTTTTCCAAATATCACTATCCCAGATTGCTGCCTTATCACTTCCTTTGTGGACCACAGTCCCCTAATGGATCTCCATTCCTCCAGGCTCCATTCCTACCAGATTGCCTGTTATTCTTCTATCAATTAAAGATTCTTGAACCAGCACTTGATCATGCAATTATCCTTCCCAAAACTTGGGTGAGCTTCCATTTCTAGTGCTCCAAGCTCCTTGGGCAACCCCTCAGGTCATCCCACATTTGACTGCAACATCTCTTAGCTTTCGTCCTCATCTTCCCATCTTCCACTCCCCCATCTCTTCTCTCATCCTTATTCCATCCTCATAAAACACCTTCATCTGTTTGATACCTGTTTGACAAGGCCTTCTCTATACTGTAACCTCCTATTCTTTTAGTCAAAATTCAATAAAAATGTTGATATTCCCAAGAAATCACTTGTTGACTCCCATAATGAGAAGTTGAAACTGTCCATCTCTGAATTATTGAAGTACAATTTTACACTCTTCATTCATTTGGAAGATATTGATTAGCCTGGTACTTGTAGCTGACTTTTCATAACGTGCGTGACTGGCATGCCCACCTACATTGTAAACATCGCTAGGACAAGGGCTACTTTTATTTTTTTGTTTACCCATGTCAGTGATTAGTATAGGTCTTCAAATATTTGAAGAACTTGTGAATCTTTATTTTTTTAGTCAACCTAACCTCTAGAGAATGTCAGAGTTTTGCATGAGTAGCTCTACTTCATACTCATTTTACACTGCTCAGTGTCTTCCTCGTGCACTGCATTTAAGTTTGAAAGATATGACATTCCTGAT